TTTTCTCTCAAAGTTACTACCAGCATCAGGTAGGCTACCATGATTAACAACAAATGGCTCATTCAAATTGTTCTTTGAATGAAATCCTGCATGACTAGGAGACTTCCTAGCAGTTGTAGTGTCTTGGCTTACTCTTAGAGGGGTGGCGTTCCCCCAACTATCATGAAGATTGGAACCACCTTCAAAACTTTCCATTCTTTTATCCTGTGATGAAAATCCAAGTGGTTTTAGCTTACTACCTGGCTTCCAATAGCTTTTGTCACTCTTCTTGGAAGTAAGCTCCTCTCTTCCCGGTGACGGATTGCCATGGCTGTCCCTATGCAGATTGATATTATCACGACTATTTGGTGGCTTGAGTCCATTTTCAGGAAGTTTGGATTTAGAATGATGATCGTTTTTATCTCCTTTTGATGAAGCGGCTTCGTTGCCATTCCAAAATTTATGGCCATCATTAGGATAGTAAGTGATTTTATCTAACAAAACATCTTGTTTGACTCCTTTTGGGGTAGCATTGTGGCCATGTGATGGCTTATTATAATCAGCAGGAAGGTGAGATTTAAAATTAGTGTGGCCCTGCAAAAGCATTTTTTTGGGTACATACAAATTAAAAAAAGATTTCTAAACAGGAAAATAAAAAGTAAAGAATTGAATCTATTTTCAATTTAGCAACGAAACTAATCAAAAAATGAAAGAAATAAAAAAAGAATGGAAGACAACACCTGTGCAACTGCAGAGGATTTTGACATCCTCAGTTCAAGAGCTTTGGAGTCCCACTTTATTGAAAACTCTAAAGCAATATCCTGCATCAAGCGCACCTTTTTCTCCAATGTAGAAGATTTTGAATTCAAATTTGCAGCAAACTGATGATAAAAAATTTAGTGAATCAACTCAGGGATAAGTAATAAATATGTAAAATTCTACTGGAGGAAAATAAAAATGAAGTGTACCTCCTGATTTACATAACATTCAAGGGAATTCCCATATCTATCCTGAAATATTTGCCTAAGGTCACGTAGTTCTGGTAGATCAGAAAATCTTGCAGCTGCAAACGACAAAGATGATATAGCCTCCCTGCATTCCTCAGGGCATCCACTGTTTAAAAAATGTTATGTCAGTTATCCAGTTTGGCATGAGGAAAAGTTTGAAATGGCTATCCAACCACAAGCATTTAGGGATATTTAGACACTACATGTATTAAAAAGATACTTCTAAAGTTTACTTATCCAATTCCAGTAAAGTGATCACTGGACAAAAATGTGGAAGATTCTTTAGACGCCTATATATTATTAGACACACGGAAATGATTCAAAGTTCAAAATAATGAGTTGTTGATAAAAGAAAATGAAATTAGACGCTCAACTCAAATAAGAACATGTTGAGAAAAATCTGTTACAGTTTCAGTAGTTTATAACCTTTATTGATTGTTCTTTTCAGCTAACCACCAAAAGAGAAGTGAGTGAACATATGAGTATTGAATTTGTACATGAGAAGAAGTAAATTTGAATATTTAGTATCAGTTGGTCACGTTCGTAATGACATTTTACACTTAATAGTACAATTTTAATTTCCTACATGAGAAATTATAATAGACACAACAAGCCTGGCAGATTGCCTTAATGGCTTTATCAATTATCAGCCATGACACAAACGGAAAAATCACCCCAAAAAATGACATCAGTATCCAATGACAAATCACTTAAAACATATCCATACCTCAGCTTCTGCAGTACCGAGAGGTGCTTCAATACAAACTCACAGGATTGCTCAACATAATCATAACAAGATGACAACATCAACTCAACAATGAGTCCTTCAGCCTGTATATAACCCACCCCACGAGCAATATAAATGTTAAATTGAGAAAATACAGTGTTGAAATTTGCAAATACAAGAATTATTCGCATAATAAAAGTTTTATATGGTCCCTGTTAAGGAAGAGCAACAGTATATATACAGTACGAACAAGAAGCGTGTGAATCATTATGAAATGAGGTGCAATCAGTTGGTTTTAGCAGAAGTTGTGTGTGAATAAAAGGTAAAAGCGAAGGTACAAAAATATAAAATCAATCTAATCATATCAGTTCAGGTGCAGTGTACAAATTCCAATTGGAACTAAAGAGAATTTCCATTTATCAAACAACAACACTGAAAAGATTATTAGAACACAAGCTTCAGAACAGAAAAATAACTGGAAAATGTTCTCATTTTATTCTTATTCCATTCTAAACTAAAGAAACGGAATGTTCAAAATCAACAAAAGATTAGCAAAATTCATAACCCATTCTTCATCATTTCACTAGCAGTAGAACCCAGCATGAATAAAACTCACAGTCTTTTAAATCTTAAATAACAAACAGAAAATCCAAAACATGTACAATGTGCATTGATTCAGAAATTGATTCCAGTGAAGAATCTCACATAACCAAATCTATGATTTGCACTGAACAACAAATTGTCAATTGCACTAGTCTAAAAGCGCTTTCAACCTTTGACTAACAGTAGAATTAAGCGAGACCAAAAATCAAATACTCTTCATAATGCAAACTATGAAATGCTTATATAACTTGACATAAACCAAATCTATAAATAGCAATAAACAAAATAACAACAATAATTTACCCTTCCATAAGCATTGGAATCTAAACCATTCGCCAATAGATCAGCAACATCTTCCTTGAGAAATTTCTGCCTCGCCTTCCTCTTTCTCCTTATCACATCGATCCGATTCTTCGTCGATTTGATCAACGATTTGCTAAGAAATCAGAAAACGCAAACAAAACAACGCCAGTTACGATCAACACAACAACATTTTCAGATTTCTACATCGGAAAAAATCAGAGAACAAATAATAACTAACAAAGAAGAAGAGAAATGGAAGATCAAACCATTTTGTGGCGAAGCCTCCTCGACCGAGCAAACCGTCTAACATACTGAAAGATCTGTGATGAAACGGAATCGGTGGATTGATTTAGTGTGTGATTCTATTTATGGAGCTCAGAAGAAGAGATTCGCCATTGACGAAGAAATCGCGTTCGTGTTCAGTTCAGAGAGCAATAGCACATGTTCTAAGTAGTGGAAGACCAACAAGAACTGAAAGTGGAAGAAAAAGGAAAAGAGAGAGAATATGCGCTTATTAAATTAATAATAAATGAATATAAATGCAAGCAAAATTCGGAATTAGGAAAAGTGCACTCTCAAAGGTTACTGAATTACGATAATAACCTTCGGCTTTCGCGGATTATGTTAGGTAGGCTAACGAAAGAGGAGAGATTTTTAATTAATGAGATGATTGTGTAAGATCAAGGATTAATCCGAACAATAAATTACCTTAAATAATGTTTTCATTAAATATTTTTGAATTTTTTAACCACAAATATATCTATATATCATGATCGAGAGTACCAAATATTTAATTCAGCCTCCAATTTAGTAAACTCTATATCTATGGTAAACTTATTATAACTTTTTGTCTATTGATATACTGACTTGGTAGTTTAGTTCTTCTGCCTAAGGTTCCCAGATCAACAATTGAAGAATGATAATTTTAGAATTGTAGAGATTACTAAAATGAATCTTATATTTATCAATAAACATCTAGTTTATACATATAATAGTAATTAGTATCTATCAACCTTATTAATATTAAACATTGGTGTTTAAATCTCCAATAAAAAGAACAAACTAATCTAACGCTATCCTAAACATGAACACAAAGAAAAATAGTTACTAAAATCATCATAAACAATTTTATATGCATCCACCAAACTAATGGAACCTAACATAAACTTCCACATGAATATCTGATCAGAAGAATAGACCACCCGACCAATTTTGTTCACACCATGATCATTGTTTGCTTTACATATCCGCTGTGAAAATGAATAAAAATCGGTCAACTAGTAGTTGTGACTTACACATCACAAACTATATATCTAACTTAAACAAAATTAGTATAATATAAAAAATGATTGCTATGTTTGTTGCAACTTAAATATATGTGCATCAGACTTGCGTCAATCACTGAGAAATGTTCAATATTATAATTCACTCTCATTCTGATGATGCATTGTGATGAAAAAAAGCAGACATAAGTTTGACCTTTGAAATTTATATTGGAAAAAAATGAAAGTTGGCTAATTTAAAAGTGCTTTTTGTCAGAAATGGAAGATTGAAGTCACTGGCCTATAGGAAATTAACGGAGAAAGATAGTGATTGATTGCAGGAAGTACTACCCTAATTCTTTAACAAAGAAAAATTAACATTGTAATTATTATTAGAACTGTTGGGAATTATTTTTTAAGTAGTGTATATATTTTTAGTTTTTACTTTACGTCTGAATCTGATAATTGAATGCGTAAGAAATGATACATTTTAAGTAAAATACTATTTTTTGAATCATGAGAGATCACTGATTTGAATGTGTATGCCCGAAACCGTAGGGCACTGAGAGAGGACACGATACCTTTCACTATGAGCGGGAAGAAGAAAGATGAGTCATTGGTCTCTTATTACTCTCCTCTTCCCTCCAACCCAAACCCAAATTCCCCAAACTACCCCTACCTTCCCTCTCAAAACGTCGTCGTTCTCCTCCCTCCATATCCCGGCCATCGAAACCACCGCAACCGCTCTAATTGCCTCATATACTCAATCATCGCCCTCCTCATCCTCGCCGCTGCGATATTCCTCCTCTACCCATCCGACCCGGAAGTCCACCTCGCCCGGATCCGACTCAACCGGATCGCGATCCGAACCAACCCGAAACCCACTCTCGACATTTCTTTCTCCTTAACCGTCAAGGTTCGCAACAGAGATTTCTTCTCTCTGTCGTACGACTCCATCGCCGTCTCCGTCGGGTACCGGAACAGAGAGCTAGGGTTTGTCACCTCCGGTGGTGGTAAAATTAAGGCGCGTGGGTCTTCCTATGTTGATGCCACGCTCAGTATTGATGGGTTTGAGGTGATATATGATGCTTTCTACTTGATTGAAGATTTAGCTAAGGGTGTGATTCCGTTTGATACTAACACGCGAGTTGAAGGGAAGCTTGGGCTGTTCTTATTCAACATTCCTTTGAAGGTAGTGGACTTTGACTTTAATTCAATTTTGTTTATGATTGGATATTTGCACTATGAAGTTTTGGACATTTACATTATTGATTGTAACTAATGGTGCTGATTTGGTCTAAATTTGGTTCTGAATTTTAATTTGATTGAAAGATGACTTAGGACGCGATCGAGTAAACTAACTTAATTATAGGTTTATCAGATGCAGCTAATGACCTACCTATGAACTTCCCAAGTTATTTTTCATAAGCTCTTCAAACATAAAAAAAAAGGTTCACATATGATAAAATAAACCCAAATTACCTCTCAGGAATCTCTTCCAAATGCCTCTCGATGACCACCGGTGCGTTGGTTTAATAGTGTAAGGCTCCACTAGTTTCCCTGGTATCGTATTAGGCCAAAGGTCAAAGGTCAAAGGTTCAATTCCTATGAGTGAACTTGTGATTTTCCTTTGAATGTAACACATAAGTGTAAAGGCCTGTTTGTTTGGGCTTAAAATAATGATTATGCTACGGTGATTTTTTGAGACATTGAAGTACATAGTTAATAAATAAGCTGAATTTCAGTTTTTTTTGTCCAGCTTTGGCATTTTGTAAAAGCTCAGCCAAACAAATGTGCAAATTTCAGAAGTAATTTTTAAATCTAAATAATCATTTTTTTAGTTAAAAAACTTAAAGAAATGTGCCTTAAATTTGTCGGTGAAGTTTAATTTGCTTTTAAGATGCCTAAGTGGGTATGTGAGCTGGTGAGTTTTCCTTTAATTGTAATGCTCAAGTGACCCAAAGTTTTTGACTTTTAACATTGTATAGCTGAAATTTAGCTTACTTTGAGATTTTATTTTGTGTCTTACAATATAACTTGACAACCTTTGGCATGATTAATGTGAGTGTTTTTGCCTAGTTGATATAAGCCTTTAATGTGGAAGTATTTTATGCTGATTCCAGGCAACAGTATCATGTCAAGTGTACGTGAATATGAAAAATCAGACAATTGTTCGTCAAGATTGCTATCCTGAGGTGAGAATTTTAGTTTCTTCCATCAAACAACTATTTGCAATTTCATTTGCATATTTCTGTCCAAATGATGATCCATTTTGTGCATTTATAAAAGTTATCCCATTATCCTTTCCATTAATCTGCCAAATTGCATACTTGTTTCAGATTTATACTTGGGCAACTAGTTTGTTAGGACTTAGGTGCAATTTACATTTTACACATCTCTTTTCTAACTTCTTTTGTTGCTCTTGCCAAACCCATTACATTGCATTTTAGTGAAGTTCTCCTTCCTTCACTGGGAAACACTTTCTGCTATTAATTCCCTTGTTGGTTGCCTCTGTTACTCACTTATCCCATTTTGTGGAGAGGGTTTAAAATCAAGTCGAAGCTAGTGTATAAGGGAACACAGGCAGTATTACAAACTCCTCTTGTATGATACATTAGAAACTACATTAACGTCTGAGTGGCTTTTTATGCGCTAGAATATTGAAGTATGGGGCTCTTTGTTGCTCATTAGCTCAGATGTAACTTATAAAGGAGCGAAATGGTCAATTTTTATTTAAATTATGGCTTTCCCTTCTCCTATCAAAAGATACAGAGGTTTAAAATTGTCACACTTTGCTTTATGTAGAAATTACATGTGTAAACGTAAGGGAACGTATCTGCCATTTTTACTGTAGAAACCTTTCCAGATTAAATATTATGCATAACTATGCTAGTTAAATTGAAGTCAGTATTTTCGTTTTGGGGATCAAGTTTGAGGCAATGTGGTTCAGAATCTTCTTGACCTTAACTATCGCCCTGTTTTTATTTGTTTGTTTGTTTATTTATTTATAAATCCTAAAGTAGCTGCTTGAGGAGATTGAGTTCCCCGTAGAGTTTACCTCCATATCACCCCTTTTCATCTACAGGTTGATTTAACTTCTTTAAATGTTCCAGGTTAAATGATGTTTATGAGCTTCTTGTTTTTCCTAATTTTTAAGTTTTGTCTATGCAGACCACATGGCTCATTAGATTTTTTGAATGGATATTTTGACTTAATATAGATCATTTTGTTAATCCATTATTCATCTGTTTCAGTCACTGGGTGATACACTCGATCATAGCATAGCTGGAGACGCATGATGTGGTATTTGATCTTCAACATCCTTATCTATACAGCTGCAATATTTGTACCGTTCTGTATAGTATATGGATCACGCTCCCTTGTAAATTCTAATTGACCAAAAACCAACTTCATCTTGTATCTAATGGCATGTATGTATGTTTTCATTCTATGTTTACACAAATTGTATTACTCTACCTTTCTAAGTACATTATGCTTATTATATCCTTAATCATTAGTTGTATGACCATATGACCATTTTTTCTTATTTTGTTCTACAATGAGCTGTGATAATATGATATTAAATGGAATGGGGGTCATAAATCATGTTTAACTTTCCCCTCCTTTCTACTGATGCACTACTCTTTCATCATTCAAAATGCTTTGATCTTCTATTTTGTTTTTTCTTTTGTGAAAATGTTGACATATGAAACACTGATTCAACGTTTCATTATTTGTTGAGTAGCTAGTTAGTGCTGGCGCTGAGAAGATCCTGGCACTGAAATGTAGAATGTTGGAAGACATGGAAGGTCCTAGCACACTAGATGCTGAATTGTATTATGAATTTCAATATGTTGGTGGAATATCATCGTCATGTGGTTAATGAAAAGGCTTCGGCTAAGATTGGTTTTAGCATGTGTTGTGATTGGTAGGTAGTGGCAAACATGGCCAGAATGAAAAGGAATATAAACAGGGTTCGATGTTCCTCTTCTTTTATCTTATTGTAAATACTTGGTGCTGCTGATTATGTTATGTCATATACGTATGGAGAAACGGAAGCATGCAGTGCCCTTCAATCATATCATTCATTTACAACAAATATAAAGTACTTCTATAAATTTGACCTCACTAAATAATGCATAATAATTTATTGAATTCTGCTTTCGATGTTTATCTAATAATTATTTTTCATTGAATTAAATAAGGATATCACACAGAATCTAAAATAGAAAATGGAGGGATGAGTATAAAGGTACCCTCGAAGCATAGCATCAAAGCTGCATCTACTATATTCTAACATTACTTTCCTCTTAGAAGCAATTCTCATTTATTTAATTTTACAAAATTTGTGTACTCATAATTAGAAGTACTGAGAGTTGTCTATTTTTTTGGTTTTCTTTTGAATCATAAGATGCTTCATTGGTGCATTTTAGCACAGGAGAAAGGAACCAATAGAGCATTTACGTACCATTACAATTAGGAGATGAATGTGATTTGCAGAACAAAGATACTCACCTTTACAGTTAGAAGATATCAATTTGTCATTTTTGGTCGTTTTTCATACTTTTTTTAAGGCGTAGGCATTAACCATTACACATTTCCCTAACATGGGGAAATTCTTTTACTAAAAAACAAACAATTTGGAAATACTCTCCCTGGTCCTTGCTTAACTTAATGCTACTTATTCATTCACTCAATGAATGACTTAAAGTAAAACATTACATCTTTTTATTGGGTCTCACATAAAGAGCAAGTATATTATTGCATGAAGAAGCAGAATTTTGTGTGTGTCAATCATAAATATATTTTCAATATCTTTGCTTGACCCAGCTAGAATTATTGTGAACCACAAACTTTTCATTTGAGTATTTAATGCAATTAGATGTCCGGGACTCAAATTAGAGATCATTGATTGAATTAGGATCATTTTTATTAATTAAGAAACAAATGTATGTTTCTTCTTTGTTTTTAATGATAAAAGTGTAATTTCATTGTAATCAAATGATATACATGTCATTAAAATTTGTATTTCTCTTTGGTTTTTTAAGTATTTGTTTCTCCATTAAGGAGGTGATCCTAACTCACAGTTTCACGTGGATTAAGGCATAAAACATCATTAAATTTCTCAATAGTTATATAATCTACCAAATATGTTATTTATTTATTATACATACAACTTAAAAATATCAATTAAAAAAATCAAAACAAAAACCTCAAAACAATGTAATAAAAAATTGGAGCTGCCACATTTTATGCATCAAATATCTTTGTTTTACTAACACTATTCTCTGTATTTTTCCTCATGTCATTAATAATATATCTCTCTTTTCTTTTCATATTTCTTTACCATACCTCCAACCGATTAAAAACGTGTTAGAAAAAACCTTTTTTTAGATACATGCATGTTTCAAGAAATATTTATTTAAAATTAGTGATAAAAATCTATTTTGGAGGTATTCTAAAAATCTAGATGATAGAATTCCTACACATTAAAAATGTGCTATAAAAATAAAAAAAATTCTTCAATATACTTTCTACACTTTAAAAGGTTGTAAAAGTCTATAAACAAATCCCTCACATTAAAAAGGTGTTAGAAAACATACCTGTCATGTTTAATTACACAATTCATAAAACCAATAATAAAACTTACGTAAACATTCCTATGTCCTTGGGTTATATTCTTTAATTATTATTTGAATATTAGTCCAAATTAAATTAATTATGCTCTTTACTTCTTCATCCTCCATGTCCCTACACCGAGTTCACTAGCTGCCAGCCTATATACATCATGATTGACATGATAAAGAAAGACTTACATGGAGACGTATATACGTAGAGATAATTAATAAAATTTTAACAACACATTAAAATTTAATTCTAAATTATTATACCAAATAATATATATAAATGTATTTATCTCTAAATATGATGTGTTGGATTCATTTCCACCCAAGTTTTTATGGGTTTGATAGTTCCATCATTTGGCACCTTCTTCTCTTCCTAACCTATAAAAACTTACCCACCCTTGTTTTCCATTTCTCCAAAGACATACAATTCAATAATATTGTTTTGGAAATTAAGGCAGTGAGGTTGGTTTTTAACTCTTCCTATTCTTACTTTGGTTTTGATGGCAATCACTCATGACTTGGTTAATTCTCCTACAAGTGATGGTAAGTGTAATTTATTATTTTTCAAATTTATTTTTGGGATTAATTTCTAAATGTCCTCCATTCTATAGCTTCGGTTTTGAATTTAATTAATATTGTTTTATTTAACGCAGACATTGCACTTGATCAAGGAGTTGCTTACCTTCTTATGTTGGTGGCGCTTGCAATCACTTATACGTTCCATTGATATTTGTTATTACTATTATTACTAAAATATTTTCATTACTATTATTGCCTCATAGTCTTTCAAATAATGAAATGAGATTATTGAGTCTTTAATTTTGTGTCTTCTCTTTATATTTATTGGACTACTTTTCTTTTTATTTTTGTTAGGGCGCAGTGACCTACATATACACATACATGCAAATTAAAGGACAAACTTGTAATAAAAAATAAAATAAAACTACAACTTGGTCAAGCCGTTCGAGTTTGAAAATGTAATGGATTAATTAATTAATTAAACCTAATGGCTTCATGCATTTTGGTCCAATATGCATCATTATATTGCACCACTAAATAAACTAACTATATTTAGTTTATTGACAAGTGAATTAAGTATATTATACATAGGAAGTGAATTTAGTGAGAACAACTCTCTATAAATTATGAGAATACAATTAAACATAGATAGTTAAGATTAAAAGTATGATTATTTAAAAAATGTAATTTTATCATTACAACTTGATTTTCTGAACTTTCGTAGTTATTTTTTAACTAAAGAGTTTTAATGTTTTTATCACTATTTTCTCCGCACCCCATTTTACATACTTTCATGTTATTGTCTTTCCCGTCATCACTAGCTAACATTACTGGCCATGGCCACCAACTATTGAAGGAGTATATAATCTAATGTCTTATTGGATTTCAACCTAAAATAAAGAGGAATGTTAAAAAGTGTTTTAAAGGAATTGCATAAAATATTGCTTTGAAAATGATGTTTTAACATTAAAAAATGTTGCATAATATTTATATAAATATTATAATTTTTTTTTGAAAGGTGAATACTGAGTGATGGAGTCACAATTCATAAATATTATTTGTTCACTTTGTTTTAACTAAGCATTGAAAATGTAAAACTACAACCCTATAATGTAACCCCTTTCCCGTTTTCTAAAGCCAAATCACTCACTTCAACTTTTCTTCTCACTTGTAATAATAATACACAAAAAATGAATGATCCCACTAATGGTCACGCTACCTCTTCCTTCAAGCTACCCTCTATCAACTTCACTAAGCTTTTCATCAATGGACAATTTGTTCATTCCATTTCAGGTATTTATTTTACTAATCTTCCATCTTATTTTCTCCTTTTCTTTTTATTGCTTTTCATTTCATTTTCTAAAAATTTAGACTCACCTTGTGATATATCCTCATGAAGGACCTGTACTAAGATTACTAGATGAATATATAAGGGGTGGAAATATAATCATATATGATTAAAAAATCTAACTTTGCTAGAATCATCACTACTATTTCGAATAGGTGAAAGGTGAATGTAGTATATTGTTGGAACAAGCAATCAATCAAATAATAAAAGAGAACAGAATAACACAATGAATTTGGTAACGAGGTTCGGCCAATTGTGGCTACGTCACCGAGAACTTTGAGAGGCTAACACTATATATTATTAAAGAATAATAATTTGTGTTTAGCTAGTGTTCTTCTTTGTTACGTTAGGTTTACATAACATAAATATATAGTTCTCTACCCCAACCCTTTACATTAGCCCAAACCCATAACTTGTATTGCTATTATGATGAGATGAAATTCGGTCCATTGAATATGAGTCATTACACAACATGTATATTTATGCACAATACTTTGTATTTATATATAATTTTAAATAATTTGTTAAACATTTGTGTGGTTAAAATTGTATCCATTTAAAAAATGGAAATAAAAAAACAGGAAAGGAGTTTGAGACAATTGATCCAAGAACAGAGGAGGTAATAGCAAAAGTCTCAGAGGGAAGAAAAGAAGATATTGATGTTGCTGTGAAGGCGGCACGTGCTGCTTTTGATCATGGTCCATGGCCCCGCATGCCCGGCGCTGTATGCTATCTTTTTTTCTTCTTACTTATCAATTCAAACCATTAGATTTTCCAAAAAATGAATAGATAAGATGTGGAGTAGATTTTACTTGGGGTGTGGATTTTTATGAATGCCCTTTGGAATTTTTTACCGTAAAAATTGACTCCATTAAATCTCACTCTTTCCTAATAAATAGTATTTACTAGTACTATTATTATTGTTATCTTTACTTTATGTTTTCTTTCTAGATATAGTACTGAAGATAATGACATAAATGATAAAGAAGTAATCATAACAGTTAAACAACAATGTTTTCCCTTATGTTACTTGCCAATTTTCATTCTCCTTACTCTTTAGCCATCTTATTAAACTTGACATGATATGCTAATCAGGAAAGAGCAAAAATAATGATGAAATGGGCAGACATAATTGATCAAAACATAGAAGAGTTAGCAGCATTAGATACCATTGATGCTGGAAAGTTGTACAATTGGGGTAAAACTGTTGATATTCCCGGTGTAGCAAATACTATAAGATACTATGCTGGTGTTGCTGATAAAATTCATGGAGAGGTTTTAAAACCATCTAGGGAGTTGCATGCATATACTTTGATGGAACCAATTGGTGTAGTTGGACACATTATTCCCTGGAATTTCCCTAGCGCCATGTTCGCCGTCAAGGTTGCTCCTACCTTGGCTGCAGGGTGTACCTTGGTCCTCAAGCCTGCTGAACAAACACCTCTTTCAGCTTTGTTTTATGCTCATCTAGCTAAGCAGGTATGTTTTTGAATACATTGTTTATTTTCTTATCAAACATATTAGGCTTTTACAAAGCTCATTGCTATTTGAGAGTAAACTGATTAAATTGGATTTTCTTGTTTTCCCTTTTGAAGGCTGGAATTCCAGATGGAGTGCTCAATGTAGTACCCGGATTTGGCCCAACTGCAGGAGCTGCAATAAGCTCACACATGGACATAGATAAGGTAATTTACATGCCAAACATTTGGAAGTACAATGGGAGAATTCTTGCATAAACCTAGAGTCTTAAGTTGGCTGCATTAGACCAATCACATTGTTAAGAGATTGCTGTCGTAGTTAATTGATCACCAATTAACTTAATCTATCATAATTAATCATGTTGTTGGACTAGTACATTCAATTTTAGTGGTCAGAGTTTATGTTAGATTGATTTCTTAGTAAGTATCAAATAATGCTTCTAAAATTGACTTTGATTGTGAATATGTATAGGTTAGCTTTACTGGTTCAACAGAGGTAGGGCGCGAAGTAATGCAGGCGGCAGCTAGGAGTAATTTAAAACCAGTTTCACTTGAATTAGGAGGCAAATCACCTCTTGTAATTTTTGATGATGCTGATGTAGATAAAGCTGCTGAGCTTGCTCTCTTGGGTATCCTATACAACAAGGTGAAATTTCTTTTAGGAAATCGTTTTCTATATTATAAAGCAACTCTATTATATAACTTGTAACAAAACAAATTCTTGCTGTCTACTTTCAGGGGGAAATTTGTGTTGCTAGTTCCCGTGTGTTTGTTCAGGAAGGTATCTATGATGAATTTGAGAAGAAATTGGTGGAGAAGGCGAAGGCTTGGGTTGTCGGGGATCCTTTTGATCCTAAATCTCAGCAAGGACCTCAAGTATGGATATAGTAGCACAACTGTTTCTGCACTAGTACTAAAACATAACATGGTTGTTTTCTAGTAATATTCCACCATTGCATGGAAAAATAGGAATAAGAAGTTCTTAGAATCCTTCTTTGTTAGCTCACAGTTTCTTCTTCTTATTCTTAGGTTGACAAGAAGCAATTTGAAAAAATTATTTCCTATATTGAGCATGGAAAGAGAGAAGGAGCCACCCTTTTGACAGGGGGCAAGAGAGTGGGAGGCAAGGGCTACTACATTGAACCTACAATTTTCTCCAATGTTAAGGTCAATTTTAATTCCACAAAATTATCAAATAGTATTCTTCACAATAATTTGATAAGGAACAATCTTATTATTTTAGGAGGACATGGTGATAGTGCAGGATGAAATATTTGGCCCTGTGATGTCACTGAAGAAGTTTAAGTAAGTTATCGCATTATTTATGCCATGTTTGTGATGATGAAGACTAAAATTTAAGGATGATAAATGTAAAACAGGAGCATTGAGGAAGGAATAAGGAGTGCTAACAATACAAAATATGGGCTAGCAGCAGGAATTGTGACTAAGAACTTGGATACAGCAAACACTGTGTCAAGGTCCATTCGTGCAGGCATAGTGTGGATAAACTGTTATTTTGCCTTTGGGAATGATATTCCTTATGGAGGGTATAAGATGAGTGGATTTGGAAGAGATTTTGGATTGGAAGCCCTACACAAGTACCTACAAGTTAAATCTGTTGTAACACCCATTTACAATTCTCCTTGGCTTTGAATTAATACATATTTTGTAAGTAGGTTGTGTAAGCTACACAGGGGCAATGACATCAAAAATATTTTATAGTGCTGCATGTAAAGTTATGTTTAGTGATTAAGCACATTTACTTTCAAGCGAGGAAACAAAAGGCTTCTTAGTAATTTTATTTTGTCAAATCAAAAAGGCCTTTCAAACAGTGTATTAATATTTATATATTTGCACATTTGTTTATATTTTTATACAGTGTTGCATGCGGTGTACCAATTTTCTAATGTTCAAAAAACATTTGAATTTCCTTCCCTATATTAAGTATTTCAACTATATAAAAGTTGTAATAAATATAATTATAAATAAAAAACAAATGAAACCCACCACTTGTTTATCAAATATTCTTGTGTCCTCACACATACGAAACTCTCTCCAAAAGTTACTCTCCTTTATACTCGGTCTTCTCCACTCTCTCACTGTAACACAAACCAAGTATTTCCTTCTCTAATTCACCATCACTAACACCAAATTGGACTTTCCATTTTTGGCACATTAAGTGAAAATTATGAGGTGCACAAAAAAACTAAACTAAAGTGTAAATAATGTCAATATTATTGTTACCATGCAGAAAGTAAAGATAGTACATAGTTTTAGGAGCATGAACCCACGTCCTTAACTTGCATGGTTAAACATATTTTGAAGAGAAGTTAATCTTGATGAAACGTTTCATGGCAATGGAGAATGGAGAAGAAGATTATATTCATCATAACAAAGACACAACAAAATCAAAAAGAAAACAACTTGGACTGTCATGCATGTTAAACACAGAAGTTGGT